CATATTGAGTTGCATTTTATATTTATAGGACATTACTGTGAACTTTTATATCTGCTATTTTTTCTTATTTTAGGCTATTTGTATTCAGGTTTTTTACATTTATTTTATATAGATTTTTACCTTTATAGTACATTACTTGCATTTGACGCTACCTTTTTCCTTTTATTGTCGATTTCTTTGAGATCTGTGAGGGAACCCCATTACATAGGTCTGAAGCCCCTTTTAATTTTTATGTGGCCAGGTAGCGCTGACCCGTTAAACCTATTTTATGTATCACAGAAGGCTGTCCATGTGAGTGACGCAGTTTGCATCAGATGCCTCTTTCTGTTCCGCCCACAATGTTGGGGCTCTGTCGTCTGGTGTTGAGAGAACTGAGGGAAAGTTCAGCATAGTATATAATTGGCTCTTGCGCATAACTTTTGTTGAGTTCCTGAACATTTAAGCAGGACCATTGTTGTTGACGCTAATTTCACAAACATAGCCACCCACTGGCCCTACCCTGCCCACATGCTCCTTCCCCCGATAATAGACAAGTTAAATTTAGCAGATCTTTAACAGGGTAAATTTATATTGCATAATATATGTAAGCCAAAGTTAATTTTTATATTAATAAATTCACTACTACAGACAGTTTGGTGGACTGTTTGGAGGATGTGTTGTTTTACAATGTGGCAAAGGTCAGCTGACACTTTATCTTTGCATATCAAAAAAATATAGCACTGTTGGAGAGTTGGGGTAGGAAAACCCCCCCACCAAGCAAAATGCAAACTAAAATACACAAATTAAAAGATCTGGGGGGAAATCTACATGGGAGGTTCAAGTGAACAATAGGTTTGCCATTTGGTTTCATAAGTAACCTCCAACCTCTGAAAATTAGTTTGTTTGGGGGACAAACTATGTTGTTCCCCCTATTTTGTTTTATTTAATGTCCCCCACACAATAATCCAAGGGTTGTATTCCAGGTCTCCCCCAATATTTTACAGACCCCATACCCTGGATGGGCTCTTTCGAGTGACTTGGCTACAATGGCTGTCCAGTCACCTGTTTATGGATGCAGTGATAGAGAATCCAAATGAATTTTAGAGACATCAATAAATAAGAGAATTACCTTACTGGTCATAATATGGCTATTTTCACAGAATTTTGTCTCTTTGACAAAACCCAGGTGTTTAGTGAATTGCTTCATCAAAATCTAAAACTAGTGTTATTTTACTATATTTTGTGTGCCCTCTGCAGACCACATGCGAGTATGTCTTCTGTAGATTGAGTATCAGGTTATTTTTCATTAAACGTTTTTCTATCAAATGAACACCCATTGTATCTTATTTGATTCAAAGCATAATATTTGCTGTTTCTCACAAACCGAAAATCTGGTTGTGGGCCCTGGCACTGGTTCATGATAATCAAAACAAATGAATGCTTGTTCTACCGGCCTGGTTGGATTATTCAAAAAAAAACAAACAAACATAAAAAAACAAAACAAAATTGGAAAAGAGTTATGAATACTTAGTTAAAAATAGGAGGACAAAGAAAGGTCGTATGCAAATCAAAGGAACAACAGAGGCACTGTGTGAAGGTTAATGAATCGGAAAGATGGAAAAAGGAAATAGAAAAAGAAAGACACTTTGAAACAAGCGACAAAGAGAGACGGTGCTGGCATGTCGGACATGTTCCCCCAGAGATTTATAAGTTCCTCAAGGTAGTTTTAGGAACATGAACATGCTCCCTGTCCAGATCTGCCATTAGAAATGTTTGGGCTCGCTACGCAGCTCAAGGCCTGGGCCCCCATTCCACCATCATCTTGCAGGCACTTAGAGCTGCAGTCCATGTCGTCCATGTCCCTCCTGCAGGATATATTGAGTGTGGGTATAGGGGATGTAGCAAGTGTATAAGGGTGTGTATAGTCTCCATCTCCCCCAACCTTCCCCTCCCCCAGCTCCATCTCCCTCTCTCCTTTCCATGCTTCATCTCACTCTCTCCTGCTCCATCTCCCTCTCTCCTCAAAACTCAATCTCCCCCCACCTTAATCTCCCACAGTCCATCCCAGCTCCATCTCCCTCTCCCCCCCAGCTGCATTACCGTCTCTTCTCCGAGGCAAAACACAGTGCTTCTCCCATCAAATGATCCCTATGAGAAGCATTGATTGAATAACCAAGTTTAACTCAGTTATTGAGTGCCTTTAGTGGCATACTTTTAAAGATGTGCTTATCCCTGCAGTAAAAATATCACCATTTCTACAAAACAGCAATGTTTTACATTGCAGCGTTAAAACAACAGGGGCACTCCATCCAGACTACTTCAATGAGATATAGTGATCTGTATGGCTCTAGTGTTCCTTTTTAAGTTGTAGTGGGTTTTAATGCTTAGTGTTCCTTTAACAAATACCCTTTGGCAGCATGAACATTCTACATATTGCAGTGCAGCTCTGTTCAAATACACCCAAAAGCATGTGGAACCTTTATCTCTCTGGGAAAACATATTTGAGGTGAGAACTGCATGCTGGGGGTTTGGATTTTTGATAGTAGTCTTGAAAAAGTTGGATAAAGTTTTTTTCTTTATTACAGTGACAAAAAAAAGTTGTAAAGACAAACGGCTAAATTAAATAATATTATTGGGGGTTATGAGAGACTTTTAAAACATTATACATATTTCTAGTTTGTACTGAAAAATTTAATTTCAGTATGATACTGTTAATTGTAATCTGTGAGGAAATTGTTGTCCTTAATTCAAAAGTTGTTCACATATGAAATAACCATTTATTTGATACCCCTTGTAAAGCTATCTCCATCAACCCAACACGTTCTGTACTTTATTTGACTTATTCTTAGTTATCAGCTGTATTCTCTCCAGAAGCAAAACACCAAATATCTACAAAAAAAATCTAAATAGTAATACAGTTGAATATGTAAATAGCTAAAAATATTGCACTCACAAACATAAACTGGTCGAAAGGAAACCAATCAATTTATATTTGTGAGTGCAATATAAGTATACTTATTTTCAGCTGTTTATATATAGTACTGTATTTCACGATTTTAGATGTTTATTTGTAGATATTTAGTGTTTTGTTTATGATTTTTATGATGATTTGAAGGAGTTTTTCAATATCTATATTTTAAATGGTAATTGTACTGTATTTATCACTTCCCGTTTTTACACTGGTGTTACTTTTTGGTGTGTATTTTGTGTTTAGTATAATCTCTCCATAGCCATATTTGCCAATACCGGAGTAGGCAGCTGCCTACAGGCACCTATCTTGTACATATGTACAATATCTATATATGTTTTTTTATTTTTATTTTTTTACATTTCAGATATAATTTTACATACTTTTAAATTTGGTACATGGCAATTACTTTTATTTTGTGGGGGAGGGGAGAGTTGTACTCGAGAGAACTCGATTGTTTTGGAAGATGTTGACGATTGGTGAGAATTCTGTGCCTATAGGCACTTAAAATATAAATCCAACTTTGATTTTCTTATGTGTCAACACACATTATTTCTTCAGGATATAGTCCCTAAAAGGAACACTATAGGGTCAGGAACACAAATGTGTATTCATGACCCTATAGTATTAAAACCATCACTTATGTGACTTGTCCCCTTTAGCCCCCTTTAAAGGTAATAAAACTTACCTTATTTTCAGCGCTGCGCGGGTCCACCGGTGCTGGCCCTGCCCCCGATCCGCCTCCTTGTTGACATCAGAATTTAAGATTTCAGCCAGTCCAGTGCTTTCCCTAAAGAAAACATTGGATTGGCAGAAACGGGGTTGGGCCAATCAGCACCACCTCATAGAGATGCATTGAAGGAATGGCCCCTGGACATGTCCCTAGGGGCAATGTAAACACTGTCTTTTCTCTGAAAATGCATGCACCAGAACAAATATAATAAGCTTAATTGTTCTGGTGACTATAGTGTCCCTTTACGTTTATTGGCAATCTTGCATAATTGTTTAAATAAACATTCTACAAATGTTAGTCATGTTCCCCTCTTCGTTTATACCAGTATGTCTAAGTTAAAGGTAAAATGGCTGTCATTGTATAACATGACTGGTAATTAGTGATTGCCAAAAGTACTAACTCCTATAGAGATTAGTGGAAATTGCTAAAACATCTGGTTTCTATGTTAATGGAAAAAACTTGCCATCTGTTGCCATCTGACTTAAAATTGCACATAGCTCATCCAGGTGTAAGGAGGAAAAAACATTGCAATTTTACAGTACTCATCCTTTTATTAAAAAAAACATCTTTAAGTATATTTAAGCACTAAATACTTTAATAGATAAGGTGCATGTAGTTTTCAATGAATAATTGTGAAATTTTTCAAGTCTGGTATTCGAGAACACCGAGATCAACATGCTCATATGATCATGGCTGGTGCAAGGATTGTTGCAGCCATAGGCAAAAATAATTTGCCGCTGCACCCACTCATATAGACTGACACACACACACACTGACCCATGTAAACGGACAACCACACCGCCTTTACCTCCTTATGGTTGCGCCAGCCCTGATTACCTGATTAAGTGTGCATGCCCTGTTCGACCCCTTTATATTGTCCTGGTGCAGTTCCTGGTGGAAATTAATTGAAAAATTAGTCTTTCTTCATGTGTCATGTAGGTAACTGTAAAGGTCAAATGGTGGTCAATCTCAGTAGAGACAGATGTAAATTCTTTGCAGATGTTAAATGCAAGTGTCACCCATGCCAACAGCTGGTAAATGTTTGCAGTTAAGTATTTTTAACTGCAAGCATTTACCAGCTGTTGGCATTTTAAGTCCTTAGCAGCTACCTTTTCACATCAATTTTGCAATGTGGTTTGGGTATAATTTCTTCATTTGAACTATAAAGTACGTGAACACCACTTGCGTGCATAAGATGATTAGTGATATGAATAAAGCAAAATTTTAGTCAAAGCTTTTTATTTTTATTATAAGTAATATTCCACAGCTCTTTTTTTACAAAAATGCTAAAACATTATTTTTGATGTAGATCCTGTTCATATGAGAAGAGGAGCACGTCTTTCTCAACATTTTTATAAGCGCGTACAAAGAAAGCAGTTCTTGCCTTTACAGAAAGACAATAAGACAGTAAGTGCCAGCTGGATTATATTCATATAATGTCTGTCTGTTTATATTCTGCTTGTACGAGATATACATGCATATATTATTATTTTTGTTTGTCAGATACAAGTTGCCCTTTGGGATTATTCACTAAAGGGTATGTATGCCCATGCACAGGATTCTGCAGGCTTGATCCTTCAGTCTATATGGTTCTGTGCAAAATGTCTCCTAATTGGCTGGAATCTAGCATGGTATCTCTGCTAAAATGGAATTACAGAATAGTTTGGGGTTATTGTGTTTATTATTGATTATGTTATTCTTGCTTCTGTAGGTTGAAGCAGCCATGCATAAGAACAGCCGGCAGACACGAGCAAAGTCAGATGTTGTGACAGTGGAGCAGGAAACCAGCAAATTGTACGTACTGGGGTTAAGTTACATCCCTACCAAAATTAGGGTGTTTTTTTTATTGAGAAGGTGGGTAGGCAGGCAAATGGTGGCATGCCAGTAACACAAGTTATGTCACTGGCTATGCCAAAATGGGGAGGGGGTGAGGGAGGTGTTCGCCAAAATCGGGGCCTAACTATTCACAAAAAGGAGTTTGTTAGCCTGGCATGAATGCATACCATGTAGGCTGACAGAGTCACTGACCAATCCTGTTCAAGGCAACATAAGCATAGAGCGCTTTTGACACACTATGCCCATGGACTGAATGCCCTACCAGCACTATGCATAGTGCGCGCACATCTGGTGATGAACTTGCTCTATGTTGATTTGGGATATGTATCTGGTGTCCCCAGATGTGGTACTCTAAGCTACAAAAAAAGTGACAACAGGGCAGGACTCTGAATTTGGGATGTCCCGCCAAAAAGGATCAGGTGGGAGGTGTGCAATTGTGGTGGGCCCTAAAGATGATAGACTATTTAAAATTGGCAGTACAGATTTTTAAAGTTAAACGGTACATTGTTATTGCCCTACACCTGCTAAACATTTTAGTGCATTTTGCATGTAAGTTTCCTTTGTACGGGAGACAATTTCATCTCTATGGGATCAATGATGACATCATTGATGATTTCAACCAAAGAGGCAGATTGGTAGTGAGGAGTGCAGTGCCGCGGAATGTAAGTAAAACTTACCTTTTAAACCCCTGAAAGGGGGGTGGACACCTAGATAGGTAGGGAAATACATGTTTGTATTCCAAATGCTATGTTCCTTCAAAGAGCACTCTCATCACCATGGCAACTTTCCATCATTTCAAATGTTATGGTGCAGAGAATCCTCTGCACTTTTTTCTTTCTAAAATATATTTGCAGACCGTTGCAGCTAAACATGCCTGCCCCCTGGAGCAAATACCTCAGAAGAGAAAGTAAAAAGTTCCTCAGATCCAGCTTGTATATTCTGCATGATGTAATCCAAGGGTAGGCAACCTTTGGCACCCCAGATGCCGTGAATGATATCTTTCATAATGCTCTTACATCCATAATGCTGGCAAAGCATCAGAGGAGGTGTAGTCCACATCCTTAGGAGTGTTGAAGGTTGACTACTTCTGATATATTGAATGGTGCTGCTGTTGGGGATTTTTTCCTCCCTAGGAAAGCACTCATTTTTATGTCCCTCATAATGTTAACTTACCTTATGGGTATACTCACTAAACTGGGAATTGTAAATGATTGACCACATTGCTGGCCAAATTACTGCAGTTAAAAACTGGAGAATTTCCCCATTTTAGCTATTTTGGAGCTTTTCATTTCTCGTTGTCCTCAGTTTGGTGAATAATCCACTAACCCTGGTTATTGACTACTCGGAAATGTAGAACATTGTAATTTTTCTTAGTTGCTCTCTGCAGAGTGACAAGTGTCAGATTCTAGACTATGTTTTCAAACAGCCATAACTCTAAATCCCACTCTAACCCTAATCTTAAACAATCAAAACCATAAATTCCCCAACCCGTATCCTCTTGACAACAACTAACTCATATCCCCCTAGTCCTACGCATCCAGAAACCCTAACCTGTATTCTTAAAATGGATACTCTAAGCACTGGAACTAATTTCCTGTAATGGAGCGGTTTTGGTGTATGCATGAGCCTCACTACTCAATTCTCTTTAACCCTAAACATCCATTAACTCAAATTCTAGTCATAAATCTCAACACTGAATTCCACTAACTCTAAACAAATACAAACACAGACACGATCATCACCTATCCACTCCAATAGACATCATTCTGTCTCTCCATGGACATCTTGCTTACCCCATTCATCCAATAACTATCACACGAGGCAACACATTTATCACTTATAGAGACTAATAGAGCAGCTGGAAATGCTAGCAGCATGCTTGGTTGTATAGGGAGAGGTATTGGCAGTAGAAAGAGGGAAGTGCTCATGCCATTGTACAGAACACTGGTGAGACCTCACTTGGAGTATTGTACGCAGTACTGGAGACCGTATCTTCAGAAGGATATTGATACCTTAGAGAGGGTTCAGAGAAGGGCTACTAAACTGGTTCATGGATTGCGGGATAAAACTTACCAGGAAAGGTTAAAGGATCTTAACATGTATAGCTTGGAGGAAAGACGAGACAGAGGGGATATGATAGAAACATTTAAATATATAAAGGGAATCAACACAGTAAAGGAGGAGACTATATTTAATAGAAGAAAAACTACCACAACAAGAGGACATAGTCTTAAATTAGAGGGACAAAGATTTAAAAATAATATCAGGAAGTATTACTTTACTGAGAGGGTAGTGGATGCATGGAATAGCCTTCCAGCTGAAGTGGTAGAGGTTAACACAGTAAAGGAGTTTAAGCATGCGTGGGATAGACATAAGGCTATCCTAGACTTAAGATATGGCATGGGGCTAATTAAAAGTATTTCAAAATCTTTTATTGGGCAGGCTAGATGGGCCGAATGGTTCTTATCTGCCGTCACATTCTATGTTTCTATGTTTCTATAAACTACCTTTTCATTACAGTGCTCCTTGTCCACTGAAAATCATTGAAGTTAATGCCTTAGGTCACTTCATCCGGATATTCAACTCTTCTCACCATAACCTCGTTGACTTAAGTGGTTACATCCTCTGGCAATTGGAGGGAAACTACCCAGTTACCATGTACCGGTTCCCACAAAATATATTTTTGCCAGCTTTACGGCATATTACGGTAAGTGGGATTGACTGCTATTAGTCAAGTAACCATTGGGTTAGCTGTGTATATTGGCTCCAGAGCAAAATTAACCATTAGCTGACCTTGTGTGTCTGTCTAGGGCACATGTGTTGAATAGGGGCCCTGGAAACTATGAATTTGTTTTGCCCCATTCACTGTCCATTTGTGAAGAATGAAGAGGGCCCCAAACCGGAAGCCTGCCTAGTGCCATTTGGGGTCCTAATCCTCCTCTGATTGGCTGCCTTAAGATTGGTTGACCATTTTGGCAAATTATATTCAGGAACATTCCGGTGGACAAGGTTACCTATCTTATACGGTTGCCATATTCACCATGTTTCCATGGACATGCAATTTTGTCATGTTGACTGGCAGCACATGAAAATGCTGCCCTGTAATATGTAGAATTTACATGCTTCAGGATTCCTAATTAAATTATCACCTGATTTACCACTTGCGGCATTTATCCTTTACATTCTACAAGGCAGCATTTTTCAATGTTACCCATCAATTTACCCATTAATTTGCATAAAGGAAATGTCTGGAAAACATGATGTAGATAGCAACCCTATGAGATAGGTAACCTTTATGATGAAATAACCTTACGGCTATATTTAAAATGCATCCCTTGTATTTCTAGCACATATGTTTACGATTGAGTAGTTTAAACTCAATATCAAATACATCAAATCAAATAAAAGTAATTTTATTAACTAATCCCTAGGTTTGGGCATCAGCAGCGAAAATTTCCCACAATCCTCCTACTGACCTGATATGGAAGGGAAGGATCTATTTCAGAAGCAATCCACAATGCATCACAGTTCTATCACGGGCCAGTGGTCAGGTAAAGCCTACATCATTAACATTGAGTGTCAGTGAAAGTGGCATAGGGGCATCAGGGATATTGGCATATGGTGTCAGTGATAGTGGCATAGGGGTATTAGGGATATTGGCATTGAGTGTCAGTGATAGTGGCATAGGGGTATTAGGGATATTGACATTGAGTGTCAGTGATAGGGGCGTTAGGGATATTGGCATTGAGTGTCAGTGATAGTGGCATAGGGGTATTAGGGATATTGGCATTGAGTGTCAGTGATAGTGGCATAGGGGCGTTAGGGATATTGGCATTGAGTGTCAGTGATAGTGGCATAGGGGTGTTAGGGATATTGGCATTGAGTGTCAGTGATAGTGGCATATGGGCGTTAGGGATATTGGCATTGAGTGTCAGTGATAGTGGCATAGGGGCGTTAGGGATATTGGCATTGAGTGTCAGTGATAGTGGCATAGGGGCGTAAGGGATATTGGCATTGAGTGTCAGTGATAGTGGCATAGGGGCGTTAGGGATATTGGCATTGAGTGTCAGTGATAGTGGCATAGGGGCGTAAGGGATATTGGCATTGAGTGTCAGTGATAGTGGCATAGGGATGATAGGGATATTGGCATTGGGTGTCAGAGATAGTGACATGGGATTTTACGGATAATGACATTAAGAGTTAATGATAGCAGAATTTGGGTGTTAGGGATACTGGCATTGGGTATTGGTTGTAGGGGCATTGGTTGTGTTATTAATAAAAGCACACATGTTAAATTATTTTGAGTGTTAAAGATAGTGGACTGTTGGTGTTAGTGATAAAGGCATTGACTTTTAGAGATAGCATGAGCATCATAGACTGTTAGGAATAGTGGAATGGGCTGCTATAGTGATAGTAACAAGGGGTGTTAGTGTGAAATGTGTTGGTTAAAGTAAGAGGTGATCAACATCGAAAAAAAATCTATTTATATATATATATATATATATATATATATATATTAGGGAAATGAAAGGACTCAGGAGCATATCATTTTGAGAACAGGGAAAGGAGTAAAACAATAAGATTGATCAATTTATTTCATTGTATACTTCGGTAGTAAATTCATTCTGAGCCCTGCTTGATTAAGTGAAATTAGAAGGTAACAAAGTTATATAGACAATGAGACTTTGTTTGGCGATCAGTGACTTCAGATAGGTTTATCTTGATATTTTTCCGCCATCTGCTGGCCAATAGAAGGATTACATGGTCTAGTCTATTTGCAGTTTGTATTAGTCGGGAAACAATCTAGCACAGGTGTCAGTCCCTAATTGGCAACACATTATGGAGACAATGAAATAAAAAGATGGATAAAAAATACATTAGAACAATATTTAAAAATAAAAAAGGAAACTAACCTCTAAATCTTAGTTGTTTGCTGTAAATCTGCATATTCCAATTACTGGAACTGAGCAGACAAGCCTGATCTTTATGATCAAATTTAGCTCTGTGAATAAATGGGTTATGCAGCCTGTAGCTGCTGGATATGTAGTTTAACACTCAGTGATAGTTTCATAAATAAAATAATGTTTAAATGAAAATGCAGCAAAGCTTGCATAAGTATGCTGTGTAGCTTTATGCATGCAGGTGCATCATTGATCCTCACAGTGAAGCTGTGAGAGTGACGTGGGAGTTGGATGGTTTTAAAAGGTCTGATACATATCATAGGAAATACAATATCAAAGTAGGGCTGTGCCACAGTGAAACAATTTCACAGTAAAAAGGTAAGTATAAATAAATATAGATTGAAAAAGTCTTGCATAAGGTACTTGGGTTTAATGTGGGTCTTTAGAGCCAGAGGATGGTGGTCCTTATGCTTCTCGGCTATCCATATATATAGAAAAGGACGGAAAAGATGGAGAAACTAATAGTGCAATATGTTTTGCTTAGTGTGAATAGAAAGATAAAATAATGAAGTTACACTCACATTTGACAGAGCTTAAGTCAGCTCTGGTGTGTATAGCATACAGCGGTACAATCCCCACTTATAGGATATGATGTGCGTGCAGGGCCAGTGCTTGGATTTTTAGGTACATAGGCGAAGATGCATTTTTCCACCCCCCCCCCAAATCTTCACCTATGTGCCTCTTAACCAGCCCCTCTCCCCTCCCCGACCATTAGTGGTCCCTTCCATTCCCTGTCCCTTAGTGTTCTTCTCCCCTCCCCCCTTTCCCCCTCCCCCCTTTTTTCCCTGTCTCTTGGTGTTTCTCTCCGATTCCCTCCCTGTCCCTTGGTGCACCCCACACCCCTTTAGTGATCACACTTCCTGGTGTGTGCCTCCTACCTCTATTGTTGCATTGCCGAGCGGAGCAGATCCCCTAAAGGAGCTTCAGTTTTCTGTACCCGGACGGACTGACAGGGAGTGCTCTCTCTGTGAGCACCTCCTGTCAGTCTGGCCAGGTACAGGAAACAGAAGCTCCTGTACCGCGCTCTGCTCCACTACACTCTGTACACACTGACAGTCACACACTCAATGACAAACACACAGACGTCACTGACAGACACAGACTCATTGATCTGACACACACTCATTCATTGACACTGACAGACCCACACTGATTGACACTCATTGACAGACACACTGATAGTCACACACAGACTCAATGACAAACATACTCTCACTGATTTGACAGACACACACTCATACACTGACAAACACACTCATCATACACTGACAGACACACTCATACACTCACATGCACACACACTCATACAATCACTCACAGACACACAGACAGTCACTCACTCACAAACACACACTGTCACTCACAGACACACACACAGAAGCACACAGTCACTCACAGACACACACACACACACTGTCACTCACAGACACACGCTCAGTCACTCAGACACACACACTCATACAATCACTCACTCACACACACACACTCAGTCACTCAGACACACATGCTGTCACTCACAGACACACATGCTGTCACTCACAGACACACGCTCAGTCACTTAGACACACACACTCATACAATCACTCACACACACACACACACACACACTGTCACTCACAGACACACGCTCAGTCACTCAGACACACACATGCACACACACTCATACAATCACACACACACTCAGTCACTCACAGACACACACACTGTCACTCACAGACACACACGCTGTGCACACAGTCATTCATGGACACACACACTGTCACTCACAGACACACACAGACACACGCTCAGTCACTCACAGACACACACACACAGACACACACACTGTCACTCACAGACACACACAGACACACACACTGTCACTCACAGACACACACACACAGACAAACACACTGTCACTCACAGACACACATCACATACATTCACTAATAATTTTATAAATAGACATTTTCCACCCAGCCTCCCTACCCGGAGAGCTGGTGTGGATGATGGATCGGTCCCTGAGGGCTGGGGCTGCTGAGAGGCACGCGGCAGTGCTGTGATCAGGCGCGCGAGGGAGCTCTAATCTCCATCCTCTGCTCCCTCGCGGGCTGCCTACTGATGACGTCATATTCCGGCTCCCGCGGCATCAGTAGGCAGCGCGCGAGGGAGCAGAGGGTGGAGATTAGAGCTCCCTCGCCCGCCTGATCACAGCACTGCCGCGCGCTGCGCCGGGGGTCGAGATGGTGGCCTGGCAGGAGGGAGAGCTTCCCTCCTGCCGGTCACTGAAATATTGCGCCCCCAAAGCCCGTGCGCCCTAAGGCGGCCGCCTGTGCCGCCTTATGGACGCGCCGGCCCTGTGTGCATGTTCTTGAGGATGAAGATATCAGGGACGTAGAAGACAGATAAAAAAGGCAACCATAGTGCTTTAAATAAAATATAAATAATCAGTAAGATATAATAAAAATTATACTTCCCAATGTAGAGCAGGCTAACTGCTCTATGACAACAGCATCAGTGGTATGATCCCTACCTGGGATTCTTTGGAGTAGAGATGGCTAAAAATAGTTGATGCCAGGTTGTATGTAATCGGTCAAATTATAAAAGATTATGGTACAAGTAACAAGCATAGTGACCAAAATCGATTTTTTAATATTAAAAACAGTTAAATACATCCAAAAGTTTTTCATCAATAGGCTTTTTCAATGGAGTAAAAACATACAGCCTGGCTTCTTTGGGTTTATATAGGAATACAAATTAATTAAAATTGGCGTCAAAATTTCATCAACCAATCACAGATCGATATGGATTTACATATAAAAAAACTTTACAAGACCTCTAAATTAATGAAGGCATAGCAATACAACATCTTAGTTATTTAGTTTGTATGTAAAACGAGTGTTTTATAAGTCTATATCAGCAGAAATTTGCTGAACTACGTGATACGCGTCATCAGCGCATCATATGTTTTGGCCACTAAGCTTTATGGGGGGGGGGGGCTGTAGTGCCGAAATAGGAGGAAACTAGGAAGTGGCTGTGATGGATATCTGTTCTTTTTATCTACTTTTTATCTTTTTTTTTTTTTTTGCAGTGCATATATGTATAACAAGCATGCAGGTGGTACCCCGACGGCATTCCACGTGCTTATTTCAGAACATTTATAACAGGGGTATATGCTAACAATGCACAATTTTATGTAGTTATATATAGGTTGAAGATTATCATGTTGGAGCATATTTTCACACAGATTATACTAGGACAAGCATGTATATTGCAAACTTCCTGTTACGTCTATGTGTGAGAAGGTGTATAAAGATTTATAGTTGCTAGTGTGTTCACATGCAGGTAAACCAACCAGTGAGTTTTAACTATGCTTAGGATGCCACATTAGATTGTGTTAGCTAGCACTTAAAATATTACTTATCGATCACTCAGCAAAGGGTATGGGTATAACAGGTTAATGGTCGTTACTGTAAGTTTAGCCAGCAATCAGAAAGCAGTTTGTGCGTCAGGAGGCATATTCGGGGAAGTCCAGCGATATGCCTGACAATTGTCACGGTCACCTTCATCCGATCCCCTCTGGGCTCGCACTGTAGCCCCTGGGAGTCGCCATCCCCTGTGGTGTCAAGGACATACGTGCGTGTAGAAGCCATGCATCCGGCATTTGGTGATAGAGGTTTGCATATTGGGGGGGTCGGCGCTTCCCTGTTGGGCAGGTCGCTTCGGCACCTGTCCGGAGTCGTGGCCGCTTGAAGCGGAGGTGAATGTGGGGTTGAGAGCTGGCTCTTCGTTGCCGCTTGTTCCGCCGGTTCCGCCGTCGACGCCTCTTAGGGGAGCCGCCGATAGTAACCGTTCTGCGTCCGCTCGTAGGGCTGGAAGTCTCTGGAGGTATACTTGCAGGAGTGGTCAGTATAGTTGAAGCAGTGTGCAGCTTTCTCTCTGCTATCTTAGCCCAGAAGGCAGCAAATATTTTGTCGAGTTTGGACAGAGAGTGATTCGCTGGATCTCCGCTGGCCCCCATAACTGCCGATTGGCACGTGGCATCCGCCATATTGGAGTCGGTGGTCCTTGGGTCGGACAGTCTTTGGGGCAAACAATTGGTATGCTGTTGGTGCCGGGATATCCCTCACCGGCAAGGGGGGGGGAGAGGGAGGCTCGTGGGTGGTCCTCTGCAGCTTTAGGGTCCGTTTCTAGGGAGTCTCGGGCTGGGTGATCGGCCGCCTCACCCTCGC